CAAAATTTTTATTTCTAAGTAAATATTTATTAATTGGGTTTAGAAAGGTTTTAATTGGCTTAGAAAGGTCTTTAAATATAGGTAAAGTTAAATCGTTTTTTAAATGTTATAAACATTGAGCTCGTAAATATTAAGTATTTTCATCTCCATAAATAATGATTTGGAATGAGTAAAACGATGTGCAAAGTTAATCAATCGGATCGCATGCTTCTGAAGGCGAAAAAGGCATTTTAGCTTACTTTTTTCGGTGCTTCCCCACGCTATGTTGGCATAATTAATATAGATGTAAATAAATGAGTAATAAAGTTGGGGTTAAGGCTTTTTTGTTTAAATATGATCTGGATTTATATAAGACTTCGTTACTTTTAGGTATTTTAGAGCAAATATAGTCTATATATGGTTTCCATTTAATTTTCTCGTTGAGAACCACTCCTAAAAATTTAGTAACAAAATCTCTTTTTATTTCAACTTTATCAATAAATATTTTGGGCAAACTTTGGGGTAAATAGTGTTTTTTAGAGAGTAAATGGAAAAGAATCCATTTGGTTTTATTAATGTTAAGAGTTAACTTGTTACATTTGAACCAAATAGATATGTTTTTAAGTTCATCATTCATTGTAGAAAAGAGTTTGGATATGTCATTATTAGTCAGGAATAAGTTGGTGTCATCGGCAAACATGATACTCATTAAGTTTGAGGCTTTATTTAAGTCATTTATATAGATTAAGAAAAAAAGTGGCCCCAAGATAGAACCTTAGGGGACACCACAGGAAATACTTATTAGATTGCTTTGGTTATAGTTAGTAATAAAAACAAATTGTTTGCGGTTTGATAAGTAATTTCGAAGCCATTTTATAGTTACATAGTTTAATCCGTAGTATTTTAGTTTTTCAAGCAGAACGTTATGGTCGACAGAATCAAAAGCCTTCAACAAGTCAATAAAAATACCTAATGTAAGTTGGAATCTTTGAAAGGAAATAGAGATTTCTCGTACAAATTGGATGATTGCATGTTCGGTGGAATTATTATTTTTTTGAAAACAAATTGATTATCATATAAAAGATTATTGGAGACAAGATAATTGTATACTCTATTGTACGCTCTAAGATTTTTGAAAAGGTAGAAAGAATAGATATAGGGCAATAGTTACTGATATTGCAACAGTCTTCTTCTTTCAAAATCGGAATAACTTTTGCAATTTTTAGACGATCAGGAAAAACTTCTTGGTGGACAGATGATTTATAAACTTTTTAAAGAATATCTTTTAGATTATCAAAACACTTGATAGTTATGTCACCATTAATTCCATCAGCTCCGATAGCTTTTTTTTTTAGTGATTTGAAGGCAATTTCGAATTCATTAAAAGATAATTCTTAGTATATTTATTTGGAGCAGTTGCAATCATCCATTGTGACTAAGAAATCATTAAAGGCGACTGGGGTAAAGGGAACTTTATTAGCTAATTTAGGGCTAATTTCGATAAGGTATTTATTAAATTCGTTAGATATAGCTTTTGATTCATGAATAAATTTGTTATCAACTATAATCATTTAGGGGAGGGAACCTGAGCATGTTTTTTGATTGCCAGTAATTTCTTATATTACTTGCCAAGTGCGCTTAGAGTTATTTTTAAATTTGTCTAATATTCTAGAATAATAATTTTTTTTAAGCGTTTACGAATTTTTTCGAACAAATATTTATAATCTTAGTACATTTTTTCATTTTTAGATGATTTCTTTTTAAGATACTTTAATATACATAATTATTTTTAATATACAACTTCTGTTTTATTTTAGATGACTTTTTGAAGCCCTTGGTAACCCAAGGGTTATTAAAATTTTTCTCTTTAATTGCTTTTTCAATAATGAGAAAGTTAGCATCATATACGTCGTAAAATGTTTTAAAGAAGGTCTTATAAATGGTGTCAGCATTCCCCTTGAAATTAATATGATCCCAGTGCAAAAGAGATTTAAAAAAAAAAACTGATTTTCAAAAAGTTTTATTACTTTTACTACTTTTTCTTATAAAGTTTTTCTTATAATTATCTGGAAAAAGAAATTTAGAATAAATTATTTTTGTTAACTTCTATCATCATTTTTTAAACATTTATTGAAATAAACACTTCAAAAATAAAAGATTTCCATTTGTCTCTCTCATTCTATATATTATATTTTTGCATTCTCTTCTATCCAATTTATTGTATTTTTGTTATCACTTTCTTTCTATTTATTATATTTTAATTAACTCTACCATTAAAATTTTTAAATATTTTATATTTTACCAACTACAAAGTTTCTCTCGCAAAAATAAAACATTTTTTGTTTTCTTTTAAGTTTTTCTTTTAGATATTTTGTTCAAAAAAAAAGCTCAAGTTCACGCTCACGCCGTCAGGCGGTCGATAGCAGGTGTTTAATAATATATTTTTAGATGTTTTGTTAGTTATACTATTTATTGTGGTATAATATTTAATTAAAATTAGACGTGGCTACCATATAGACCATATATATAAAAGAAAATTTTTAATTTTATTTTTTTTGTTTAGGAGCCCCAAGAAGTCCTTACGGTTTTATCACAACGGACCGCGGAAGAGCATTTATTTGGAAGTTCACGCCTCCTTCCTAACCGATATTGCAAAACTTGCCCAGGTTGGGTTCGAACCCGGGATACTTTGCTTATGAGGCAAGTGTACCACAGTGCCACAGATGCTGATAATAGCTCATGATTTTACTGCATAGCATTACTGCAAAATTCTCAATGCATAATAACTTGCATTACTGCAATAACTTACTCAATAACTCAATAACTTACTCAATAACTCAATAACTTACTCGATAACTCAATAACTTACTCGAAACTCAATAACTTACTCGATAACTTAATAACTTACTCGATAACTTATTGCTTTATTGCAAAATTTTATTCACATTTTAAATAGTAAATTGTGATTGCATTTGCAAGAATATTCTATGAAATCACGCCTACTGCTAAGGTTTTTTACTGCTATTACTATTGCTATTTACTTCTTATTATTAAGGTTTTGCCAGAAATTTCAGAAGAGCAGCTTGCATTGTAAAAAAATCTCTTAGCATTATTACCACCATTGGTATTACCATTTATTTGTTTTGGTTTGTCAACGATTAACCCTAGCTGCTTACAAAAACGTTTCTGTACCAAGGTCTTCTTCTCTTTCATTTGTCTTTTTTTATCTTCACTTTTAGCTGACCATGTTTCGAAAGACAGGTTGTAGGAAATATGTAATATTATTTCCATACACCGAATCCAGGCATGTAATGTTGACAGTCCGTATAGATACGAATATTTTTCATTTTTAGGCCTAGCAGACACTATTTTTAGGCAGTAGTCAAATCGTTCATTTTAGCTTTGTTTCTGTTTCTTCTCTTTTTAAACGTAATGCCTGAAGATATAAATTAAAGATATGCTCGAATCCAATTTCCTTAACTAATGTGGAATTTTTTATTTTTTTACTGGTCTCTGACAAATCTTTAAAAGGCACGCACGGTCTTCCACGTTATTCAAATGATGTAGATGGCGTGGGGTCTGTTATTGCGTTTTTCGATTTCGGTAAAAATACATTATATTCAGAATCTAACCAATTACTGTTGTTAGATAAAAACGCTTCCGCTTTCCGTGATGCCTTGGTCCATTGTTTATTAAACGACGGAATAATGTGCTTTTGAATATTACTAACGATGAAACACTTGAGAAACTTAATACTTTTGTTTTAAAACTATTGATATTAATTTTAATTAAAAAAAACTTTAAAGTTAACCTTTATCCATCAATATTAGAAAGGAACAGTTTACTTTTCGAACACATAAAAGTTGTCAATTTAAAAAGTAACCGATTTCCACTGTAAATTTGTTGCAGTGATATAGATTTTTCAACTTTTCATATATTATTTTTTAAATGATGCAGTGTTTAAAAATTGCTGAAAACATTTTTACCACAAAATGCATAAGTAATAGAATGCATGTCCGTGAAAATTAATACTCAATAAAAAATTGACAAAAAAATCTGATGCAAAACTATTGTTAAAAACAGTCTGAAACCACGATAAAAAGCGGTTTTCTGTTTTCTTACTTGTATCACTTTTTTATCTATAATTTTGGAAACCTCACGAATTTGCACCTGATTTTTAATAGATTATTTTTATAGACATTTGAGCTGCAAATCAATTATAAAAATGAAGCGTATAGAAGCGTGGGTGACTGCCAAAAATATCGGTGAACTTTAAGATTTTTAATTTTCTAGCTTATTTTATAGTTTAATTAAATATTAGTAAACCAAACTATATAATTAAAAATATGAATTTGTTCTGAAACCTCTATAGCATTATGCTTTCAAAAATGTATAACACTTTATGCTTATTCATAAAAGTTTTTATATTAATTCACTTTAAAAGTTATTTAACTTTTAAAGTGATAAAGCAAATAAGTTTCAATTGAACATTTACAAAAATATGAAACAGTAGGGCTTCAAAAATTATCTTTTTCCATAATATTAGAAGAAAATCCTACGTTATAGTAAAGATTAACTATTAAACAATTAAAAAAGATTAAAATATAATTTCAGTAGCGAAATTGAAATTTGTGAAAAACATTTGCAGTACGTTTTTGTAGCATCCCTTAAAAAAAAGTGATCCATGATCCATTTAAAACTGGCATATATAACCCACATTAAAATTTATCTGGCTCAATTAATAGAAACAGTTCATTAAATCAAATCAACGTCGATAAAAGCAATTCAATAAAAAAAAGGCTTTTGCCTTTCATAATTTTAAAGTAGACAAAAAATATTGAAAATTTCTATATCAAATCACTATATTTTATAACAAGTTAATTGATTGCAGCTACAAATTACTAAACTGTTGTTCGGCAATGGGAATTTAGATAACATAAATTAGTATAAATTATTCTTTTAAAATATTTAGATAACATAAATTAGTATCTTCTTTTAAAATAAATAAGAAAAAACTATTATACAGCAAATGAAAAATTTTTATAATTATAGAGCAACTCAGATGTGCGAGTTTCATTTTCTTTGAACAAAGCATCAATATTAATAAGAAAAACAGACTTTAAATTCGGTTACTCTGGCAACTTCAATTCTTTTGATTAATAGCAAAAGTTAATAATCATCGTCATCGCTTTCACCATTATTTCCTCGCACATTTTTTTTTTCATCAGGGTATCCTAAAATTCTAGACTGAGTCTTCGGTTTTCCTGACGGTTTGTCGCCATTATAATCCACCATTTCTGATAAGCTCAATCTCCATTCAAGCATTTCAGTAGGAAAATCATCTATTCCACCTAAATCATCAAAACCCACGATATAATCTTTGGTCTTGCTGTCCTTTATACATGCTAATGTAGGAAGAACTTTTATTTTGAGTCTTTGTGCCAACCATAAACATTTTTCGGCATCAATCTTAACAAAACGAGTTTCAATATGCTTTCTCGCAATGATATCAAGATGCTTATCCATAATTTTACACCTAAATGTACTTTCTCTGTAAAAATGACAAACAAAACGTTCACTTTTCTTTTGTTCATCAAAGAATTCTTTTTCATCTTTTAATTCTTGGTATTCTCCGTGACCAATTTGCTTCCATTCTTCTTTACGTAAAGCCAATTTTTTCATTGCATTTACTCTATCCTGTCGAATTCTTTTCAAATCATCATCATCTAGATTTTCCAAGCGATTAAGTTCTGCATCTACTACGCTCTCAACAACATGAGCAGCTTGTATTACTTGTTGTTCAACAACATTCATTTTAATATTTTCCTAAACAGTGTAGAAAAGTGTTCATTTAAAATATATATTAATACTGATCTATTTTGTAAACAACTTATATTATATTAATATATATATATATATATATATATATATATATATATATATATATATATATATATATATATATATATATATATATATATATATATATATACTTTTGCATGGTGGTCTTTAAGTTTTTACCATAAAATGTCAGTTTTAAGTTTTTTTTTTAATTTTCAGACCAAAAAAACTTTTTTTTTTCCCAATTATTTGATAGACTGCCTGCCCCAAACAAACCCTGAGTCAATGTAGCAGCACTCCATTGCAAGTCAGGCTATAAGATAGTTGATGTAGCAACACTCCGCGTTTTACAGTTAAAAAATAAAAACAAAAGCATTCATGTTTTACAGTTAAAAAATAAAAACAAAAACATTCAGAATGTTTTTAAAAATATTTTTGTCTTTTAATTTGGGTTTTTGTAGTTTAATTACTTCCCGCAACTAAATTAATGCGTTTTGACATGATCTAACCTTAATTTTGTCAGTTTTAATACCACAAACAAGCGAAGAGCCATTTTTTACTACAAACACGTTTTCTTAGCGGTAGACTATAGGAATATTTTTGAATGCTAAAAGATTATACTATGAAACTTAAAAGTTATTGATAAATATAAATCTAGTTGAGAATAGTACAAAAAATATTTTACCAACTTAATGCTACCCTGACGGAAATAAAAAATACAGGACAAGGTAAACATTTATAAAAAAAAATAAGTTTGTAAAAATTGAAGAATATTGACTCTCATATTACTTATAATTGAAAAATATTACTTTTGATTGTAACTTTGTTTCATACTTTATGATTTTACTAAACAAAACAAAAAATAAATAAAAAAAGAGTTCATGGTATATCAATGTACTGTAGGGTGCAAAAAAAAACTACACTCAAATTTTTTTAAATTTAAATTATAAAGCAAATTTTAACCTTACAAATATTTGAAATTGGTCAATACCTAGTCAAATATAAGCATAAAGTAAACTTTTTGTTAAAAAAAAAATAAAAAAACTTGTTTTGTTAGTAAATCAATTGCAAAAAAAGATTGCAGTGGTGCATTAAGGACAATATTGAAGATGTTAACAATGGGCAAAAGTCTGGAACATTTAGTCTTTTGTGTTAAATTTAAGTTCAACCTAAATTCAATGGTTGCATTGCATGTCTGGATATGCAACCGTTAAACTTGACTAAAGATTAATATTTTAGTTTGTTTTAGCACACACTTACTTTGAAAACTATAAAGGGTAAATGACTATGGACCAGATTTGTATCACAATATCTTTGTTAATTAACTTGGGTGATGTATAAAAAAATATTTCCATGGTGACTAGGTATTTCAACAGAATAAGGATCCTAAACATACAAGACAATTTAATATAGTTTATATAGAAATTGATATTAATTATGCATGGGCCAGCAGTTTCCTGATTTTAACCCAATAGAAAACCTTTGGTCAATTATATTGGACTAAAAGGTGCAAGATCATAAAGCAAAAAATAAAGATGATTGGTTTCAAGTTCTTTATTTTATTTGGAATGCTTTTTCCAAACAACTTGTTACGAAAACTTGTAGATAGTATGCATTATATATATAACGCATACTATCTACAAGTTTTTGTAACAATATATATATGTATATATATATATATATATATATATATATATATATATATATATATATATATATATATATATATATATATATATATATATATATATATATATATATATATATATATATATTTATATAACGGTAGAATTTATTGAAGTTTTGTTTTAGAGGGAAAGTCAAAGCCACAAAATCAATAAAAAAAAAGTTTGATAACTTAAAAATCTGCCTGTGATTTCACTAATCTAATTGAATCTAATTGACTTTACTAAAAACTGCAATTTTTTTGAGAAAATAATGAACAGTTACAAAAAAACTGTTCACTTTATGATATGGGAAAGTTTTTACAACAGAGTTATTTCAGGTACACTGCAGCAGTATTAAATTGGAATATTTTAAATTCTTTTATTAATAATGATTAAGAAAGATAAATTGCGATAAAATTTTATTTTGAAGATAAAAATATGCCTAAGTTTTTAATGATTTAAATTTGTTATTTTTCAAAAAGGTTAAAGATATTTTATTTAATACATTAATTTATACATACTTTACTGCATAATTCAAAAAAATTTTCACATCCCAAGAGATATAATATAGTCAGAGTATAAAAAACTTAAAAGACAAAAAATGTAAAAAACATCGCCATACATGAGCCATAATTCTAAAAACTTTTCTCTTACACAATTCTAAGCTATTCTCTTAAAACAACATTAGATTTAATACTATTAAATTATATAAAAAATATTAGATTTCAAAGTTTAAAAACTGTAGCAAAATAAACTAACTACCAAAATATTAACGCTTGAAATCTGTAATATTTAATGACGTATTGATTTCATCGTATTGATTCCACTCATATATTTTTTATATCATAATAAGCGCTGTATGTAAAAGGTGCAAAAAATATATTGTTATTAAAAAAATATTTAGAAATATGAAGCAATTAAGAGTAATTAACAATACCAATATTTAAAAATAAAACAAATTTGCAACTAAACAGATTTTTAATAACCGGAAATGAATTTCTAAATAACGGCTATACTAGACATGTATGTCGGGTTCGACCTATCTGTTCAGGATATCCGACATTTTCGACTCAAACAGCTTCATTTTAGCAAGTATGCCAGTAGCTTTTTTGACAACCTCGTTTAATTCTTCTTCAAATACTATATCTTCTAGTGGAATAATGATTGAAGTGTATTTCTCTAGGACAGCTTCTATTGACTTAGTACGCGCTGTCCAACGTGTAGGGTTTAAGTCGCTGTCTTGAGCTAATGTTTTCTACGAGAAAAGCAGATCGAATGTTTAAAAATGCCTAATCGTTTTGGAGATACATGAACTAAATTATGTATGTCGTGTACTAAAATTAGTGGATTTCTAACTATAAGACAGTTGCTAGCTACTTCCTGAAGTATTAGATTAAGACTATGGTTTAAGCAGTGAATAGATAGGGCTTTCGGGTTTTCTTGCAATATTTTAATAGCAAAACCAGATATTTTACCTTGCAGTGCAGAAGCACCATCATAAGATAGTTCCCTAAGACTAATCAATTGAAAAATACAATGGAAAAATATCTTTTATAATTTTAGTTATGGTCTCAGCATCAGTCTTTTCACACTTATATATACCTACAAAATCTTCAAGTACTTCATATTGATCTGACTATGATCTAGCAGTCCAGAAGCATCTCTGGCAGTCTCTAGCAGTCCAGAAGCATCTCTGGTTTAATAAACTAAAATATCATATATGAAAGCTTTTCAAATAAGGTCAAGACCATTGTGATATTTAAAATTTTTTTAATGAGCTTATTGATTATGTCACGGAAAAGATGCTTTTCATCAAGAGTCTATTTGCCGAGTACACTATCTTTACTGCCATTATTTGACAAAAGTTTAGGTAACTTTTGTAAATTACCTTCTAATTCATTATGATCTTTTATAGCTGAGCCCTGTCCTGCTAAATATTTTTGAGAGTCTATTTCTGTACTTAAAAAGATTCTGCTTTTCTTTTGTAATTTTCCATGAAGAAGAAGAGAAGTGACCGGTTTTTAACTTATAAAGACCTTTTTTAAAAATTCTTTATGAAAAATTGTTTTCTCATGTTTATCAAGATCTGCCCAGTGGGTACAGGATCTAAAAAAAGTCGTTTTTTGAAGTTCAAAACGCGTCCAAAACGTTCAAAAGACGTCTTTTTTACATCCCTTGCCCACTGGTTGTTGAGCAATTTTTTCAATCATTAAACTTATCAATAATGTTCATTCTTGATGTAAGAAGCTTATAATGTATTGCATAACGGCAAACAAAACAAAAAAGAATTTTTACTTTGACAAAGATAAAGCCATTTTCTTTGGACCAACCTTGATTAAAATACCTAACGCGATTTCCGTATAGGGAAGACCAGGGTTAGCTATAACGGGTTTTTTTATTTATTTGCGAACTTGTGGTCATTATGCAAATATTTTTTGAAATTTTTTTTGTCCTAATACTACTTTCTAAAGCACACAATACTCACTAATGATGATTAAACTTAGTTATGCAGTTTTTAATATATTTTTGATTAGGGAGCTGCAAAAAGATATTCTAACAAACTCCGCCATTGGGGCTAGTTGGAACAGACAATGTGCTTAGTTAAAACATAATATGAAAGTATAAAGTACAACAGGTCCTTTTGAACGCATATAAGCAACATCAGAAACAATTTCATGATTGAATAGACAGATTCCGCAAACTTTAAGCCCTGCAGATATGTTTTTCATTTTCACTGCAGAAGAAATGCAGCTTGAAATGTCATAAATAGTCTATTTTTTGCCTTTATTTGCATGCATCCATGAGTCACATTCAAGTTGAAGAAGTAGCTGTGAAGTGCAACGTCCGTGAGTCACAAAGGGCATCACGAACAGCAAAAAACTTTGCCCGTTTATCAATTAAGATGAATTCGCAGTTTGATGCATCCTGTTGGACCATTACGAACGAAATGCTCACGCTAATTTACTCTAGGAAAAATAAGCGTTGATGAAATAGTATTCCCAAAAGTGCTCACCACACAACACACTGTCACTAATTTTTCTCTCTTGACAGATGAAAGTTCTAATTTGCTTCATTTTTTCCGGCAACAATCTTTTGTGGCTTTTGTACAGCTGTACAACCTGTCTAATTCACATTCCAAATACCGGTTGTGGTAAAGCTCCGTTTTGTTAGAACCGAATTCAGGTTGTTTAAAAACAAATTCAAATTACATCTGATAAAGCTGGTAGCACAACTCAGAAAGTAGCATTGGGCTTTCTTATTGCATGCTATAGTTTTTTGCCATAGTTTCTATTGAATATAGAGTATATGGCAAAAATATTCTGTAGTTTTCAAAA